ATAAAATTATAATAATATATAGAATTCAAATAAAAAAAAATTCAAGTAATCTGATTAAAAAGTTATTGGGAATACTTTTCAAAGTTTAAGAAAAATTAGCTTACTAATAGAAGGGACAAATTCTTTCTAAACTTTAAGCAAAGGTTTTCGATAACTACCTAACCAAATTCGATGAATTATTCTTTGCTTTAATTCTACATATTCATAAAATTAAAATAAAAAAAAATTATAGAATTTAGTCAGGTAATTATTAAGAAAACTTTAAATTTTTTAAAAAAATTTAGCTCAATTTATTGAAAGACAGAACAACTTATTTCTTTGAGCGAAGTTTTTTTAACAGCTACTTGCCAAATTTAATGAATTTTTTATTTATTTTAATTCTATAAATTTATAGAATTAAAATAAAACAAGCATATCGAATTTAGTCAGATAGTGAGAAAATTTTTTGCTCAAGTTTTAAAAAAAATTTAAAAGCACTTAATTTACTGATAGACAGAATAGATTTTTCTAAACTTTTCTCGATAACCATCAGATAAAATTTGGCAAAAGTAGTTTTTTTATCTTAATTATATGAATGTTTAGAATTAAAATAAAAAAAGTTTATAGAATTCTGCCAGATAGCTATTAAGAAAACTTCGTTCAAAGTTTTAAAAGAAATGCAAAAATTGTTTATGCTAGTGATTAATTCTGATTGGTCGAACATTCTTAGAACATCAATGAACATTGCGTAATCTGTTGCGCAAATAGATGCACTTGTAATGCTACATGGTGACTTTATATAACTGAGGTTATACTCTATAAATTTATTGATCGTATATGCTAGGTTACTCTGATTTTTTTTATTTCTTAGATCCAGAAGAATATATCTTGGTTTTATGATGATGTGATATTGGTTTGTTTATAATATGTTTATTTCTGAAGTTTATGTGGTATTACAGATATTACAGTATGCACGTAGGAACGTACGCGTAGATTCTAATTCAACGCTCACATAAATAAACACTAGATAAATTAGTTATGACTATAAGTTTTATAGTTATAAAAACCTATTTACCTAATAATAAAGAAATGATACTAGAAAAAAAAAGAGTAAAAAAAAATAAAAAAAAATAAAATAAAATAAAATAAAATAAAATTAAAATGAAAATCTGCCAGTTAAGTCTGATTAGTAATTTTATGAAGCAAACACTAAGAAATTGGAGTTTGCTTGAGATTAGATGGAATTGTTTTTATCTTTTTCTTTTTTTTTGTTTATTTTGTTCTGATTTTTCAATGACTTTGAAATCAGAATTTGAGTCTTCATCATCCTCATAAACTCTATCTTTGTTGACTTGGCTTTTATCTTGGTCAAACTCGATATTTGAGACTAAACTTAAACCAGAATTGGAAATAGTATTAGGGCTTGTGATTTGGTTAGTATTTTTTGATAAACTTTGGTTTTTTGAGTTAGTAGATTTGATTTCATCTATGATTAGATCAATATCAGAACTTGAGACAAAGGAAGGAATTTCTTGAACATTGCTATTAGTATTAGACATGTTAATATAATCGATGTCTATGGCCTCAATGTAAATAATGCTACTTCTTATATATTGAAAAAACCTGAAATGAGCAATAAGCAACCTACTTTAATGCTATTTTAAAAATAAGTAAATCTTGGAGATTGGGTAGAAAATAAAATTCTCAATTTTATTAGGATGTTACAACTGCTAGTATAAGAGTTGTAATGATAGCATTCTGAATCAAAATATATTGTTTCTTTGATCATACTCATTTTCTGTTTTACTGTTACTAAAAATATACAGTGAGAAATACTGATAGAAATTTCTTCTGCTGTGAACTCTTGATTAGTATTATCAAAGTGATTAAACTAACATGAGATACAATTGTATATTTTTTGAGATTCTCGATGACGAACTTTCCTGAAAATAATACTATATTATTAACAGAAAATTCTGTATATAGTTTTTGAAATAGGTAGAAGTATTTCCAGTAAATAAAATGGAAGTTATTTTGGAAGATTAATACTTGGCTACACTATGGGTAAGAGCATTTGAATTCTCTTTGGTAGTTACCAGAACTATGATAGAGAAGTGTGAAGATATTAATAAAATGATTTAAAATGAAGACAAAAAAAGATAAAAAAAAAAAAAACTTCAGTGCTGTTAAATTCTTATGTATATAACTTTCAATACTAACTAGCACACTAATTGGCAATAGTTTGTTAATTATAGAATTATAATCATGGATTTAATAGATAATAGCTTTATTGATTAAAAAGAAAAAAAAAGGAAGAGAATTTATTGATAGTATTAATAATGCTTTGGCTTATTTACATCTCAAATCTATTATATATTTTATAATTTTTTTCGATATTTTTTACATAATATTTTAAAATATCTTATATAATATTTTATAATTTTTATATTTCACATGTTTTTGAAATATATTATATAATATTATAGCTTTTTTACAGTTTGTAAATTATTTTGAAATATTTTGCCCTATTAAATTTGCTGATATAATGAATATTATTGTATAACAAACATTATTGCATAATAAAAAATATCAAACCATTCGCTTTATATCAAAAAGTCTGATTTTACTACAATAAAAACTTTACCACAATAACAACAATATCAACAAACAAATCTTCACCATAAAGATAATGATACTATGACAAAAACTTTATCAACGATGATGATAACACTAATAATGAAACTTCACTACAAGAAAAACAATACCAATGATGAAAACTTCACTACCAATAAAACTTCACCACCAAGAAGAATGCCACTAATAGCAAAGTGACTCCAATAATGATGTGACAATTCTGAAATTAAAGCTAAAAAAAAAATGTTAGTTCCAATAAAAAAAAAACAAAAAAAAATAGAAGAAAAAACAGAAAAAAAGATAAAAAAAAAAATAAAAAAAAATAAAAAAATAAAAAAAGATAAAAGAAAAGATAGAATAAAAAATAGAAGAAAAGGTAAAAAAAAAAGATAGAAGAAAAGACAGAAGAAAAAATAGAAGAAAAAATAAAAGAAAAGACAAAAGAAAAGACAGAAAAAAGAAAAAATAAAAACAAAATAAACAAAAAAATAGAAAAAATACAGAAGAAAAGACAGAAGAAAAGATAAAAGAAAAAAACAGAAGAAAAAATAAAAGAAAAACAAAAAAAAGATGAAAGAAAAAATGAAAGAAAAGACAAAAAAAAAACAGAAAAAGATAGAAGAAAAGATAGAAAAAAAAATAAAAAAAGACAAAAAAAAAGACAAAAAATAAAAAAATAAAAACAAAAGAAACAAAAAA